CTTGCATCACTTGTATTCTGGTTTAGCTCTGTTGGCTTTAAATGGAGTTGATGATCTGCTGCGGCACAGATGGAGAATGGGAATTCATTGGATCATCTGGACACGTTACTTTGTTGGCTTATCTCTTATTCTGCACGGTGTGCTTTGGGCAAGGAAGAGCTCTGGTGTGACGGTCTGTTCTGAGGGGGTCTTACTGCCCAAAGGGCTGAAATGGAACTGATTTTAAACAAAAAGCCTCCACTGCCCCCCTGCCAGCCCTCAAAGCACACTGCAGCTCTCGGAGTCTCAACCTGGGTGTTGATGGCTTTTTTCACAGAACTTTTTGCAGTTCTGATTTTTTCATAAAAGTGTTCTGTTGGAGCGATCTTTGTAGAAGGAAAATCAAGACCCCTACATGCAGGTTTTCTAATAATTGTGCTTGGTGTTCTTGCATAAGAACATTCTGCAGGCTTGGCTTTTGTAGTGACCTGCTCTCCTTTAGCACAAAAACTGTGTTCTGGATATGTAGTTTTTGAACAGGCTGGAAACAGAGGTATGGAATGGGGTATGTGTTGCAGCAGGAGGAAACAGTTCAAAGGAGTGGACCAAATTGTGTGTGGGAGCTGCACAGAGGGTCAAATGGAGGTCTGGTTCTGTAAAGTATGTAAGGAGGTTGCCAACACAAATATTACCTTGCAGTTTACATGTGCTGAGAGAACGCAGCACAGCCCTGCAGCAGGGATGGAACAGAGTAACCATCAATCTGGATCCCTGAGGATGTCAGTCAGGAAAGGAAGTGTGTGATGGCAGAAAGCCTGGATGGAACTGCAGGTTTAGACGACTTGTTGGTTGAAGTATTTTTAATTATTGCTATTAATATAATGGAACACAGAGTGGAGGCTGAATTTTTTAAATATAATTAAAGCAGAAGTCAGCAGAGGGATTTCTCTGCTGTGAGGCAGAGGCACGGTCCAGCAGCAGTCTCTGCTCAGGAGGGTGAATTCCCGGAGTGATGATACTCTCCCTGCAATTCCCAACCTTGCTGGCAGCTCCCGCCAAGCACTGGTTGGGAGGGAAGAAGTGAACCGAAGGGATCAGAAGGCTTTCCCAAGCTTGTCCTGCATTTTCCTTTGTTGGAGTACGATTCCAGTTGGAAGGCAGCCACTGGCACCTTGGCCAAGGATGGGAACAGGCTGCAGAGTGTGGCGAGAGCTGCCCTCCAGATCGGGCACTGGCCTCAGCTGCCATCCGGGCCGGCCAGTAAATCATTGGCTCGCTGGAAAGGAGCCTCTCTGTCACATTGCTGTACAATGCAGCTTGATGTTTGCTGTTCCATTTTGAATTGGTGAATTAAACTCTTTAAAAATGAATCAAAGAGTTAAAACATCAGTTGTTGGAGGAAAGAAAGAAAAAAATCTTTCTTGCAACTGGGATGCTTTTCAGGAACTTGGCTGCTCGGGAGGCGAGAGGCATGTGCTTTTCCGCCCCGCTCTAGGTGATGGCTTAGTTCAAGGGGGCCCAGATTTGGCTCAGTCAACAGTTGTGTTGGCGTCTTGCCATCAAATGTGCATAAAATGGAGCTGACTGCAATTCCCTCCTCACTCCAACATGGAGGGGCAGCCGGAGAGACCCGAGGCCCGCGGTGCCGTGCCGTAGGTTGGCTTGGGTTCCCCTGGGCTGCGTGATCCCTGCAGCACAAGCTGTTGCATTGTGACTGGATCCTTGCTTTTGAGTCCCTGGGTTGTATTTTGGTCTCTTGTCATAACTAATGCATTTCAGACCTGCTTGTGCCTGTGCTCCCAAAATCTCTCTCCCTTCTCACAGTGGCTTTCATGCTTTTCCAGCTGCACGAGGTTCATCTCTCATTTGCAGCCTCTTCCGATGGTTCTGTGGCTTATGTGCGTTACCACAAAATCAAGATAAAACACAACTGGCATTTTAGCTGCTCCAAAAACACTGTGTGTAAATAAACCACTAAATAGTTCGGCCTGTGAAATGTAAATGCACACAGCTCACTGCCACAGCTGATGGTGTTTTTCTGTCTCCCTTCTACCCTCCCACCCTGCCGAGAGTGGGCCAGCCTGATGTTCTTTTTTCTCTCGCTCTTTCATACAATTCAAATGACTGCTAAGTACCATGTAGGTGGTATGCAGGCACCATGACAGATTCATGATTTGAATTGGGATGGAAGGAAATACTTGCATCCTCTTCCACATTGCTTCTGCACCATCTTTTGGAGATTCCTGGGCTCCGATGACCCAGAAATTCTGCCTCGGTCTGACTTTGAGCTCGAGCCCGTTTTTAGTAGCGATCTAGTGAAGTCAGTAGAAGAGCAGAGGCCCAACTGTGATGACATTTTTAGCCTGTGCCCTTTGTTCATCCTATACACAAAAGGTCGTGAACTGCAGTGAAAAAGGGATCACAGAGGGCACAGAATGGACAAAAGTGGAACAAATTACCAGTGGCAGAAACATAAAGAAGAGAAGCGAAAGTTTTGTGTTCTGAAGGCAATTGAAGAGGGCCACGTGCATCCCATGGTGAGATCATGTCTCTTGTATTCAAAGTGAGTCTGCCCAGAGTGAATTCAGAGTCTGCTGGTGAGGTGTGGCTTCCATGATCTCAGTGTAGGAGGCAGGAAGGGACTACATGGTTTCCATGGTGTGATGTTAATGAGCACCTCCGCGTTTCTCTGGGAGAAAAGATGCCAAAGCTGCAGTTCTGGTTACAGACAGGTGTGCTTGAACAATAAAGGGACTTTTGAAGGCATGTGAAACAAATGAAAAGCCTGATTCTGTAGACAAAGCGCTTATTTGAGGCTAAAATAACGGGATTGCCACTGCACGTTGGATATTCCAACTCATTTGACTCGGAAGGGGGTTGAATTTGTTGGCTGTGTCCCTGCAGGGAGTAGTGAGATTGTTGCTGCTGACTGTTCACAGGTAATGCAGAGGTGGCAACTCACCTTAACTCCGAGGTCTTAATGTGAGACAGCGTTTGCAGATCTTCTCATCTTCAGTATGCTGAGGAAGGAAATACACATGTGAAAGTGATAAACTTTCAGTTTGCAGTAATAAAATGTGTGTAACTTGTATAAGCCCTTTTCCTGATGCATTCCATGTGTGTCCCTAGAGCAGTGAGCAGAGCTGGGACACAAACACACCTCCTGTGCTCCGAGCTCGCCCTGGGCATCGCTGTCCCCTGTGACTGAGCCCTGCCAGAGCCCAGGTGTGGGCTCAGCCTGCTCCCAGATGCCTCCTGCAGCATCCAGCGAGCTGCTGGAACAGGAGCTGGGTGCATCTGGGAGAGCTGCAGCCACTGCAGTGCAGACGTGCCCCGAGGTGAGCAGCGTTTGGGATGAGGAATGTCTATGTTCGGTTCCAAATTTTACTAAAAACCTTAAAATAAGAAAGAAATCCTTTTCCCCTGCCATGTATTTTATGAAGAAATGGTTTGATGTATCACTGCTCATTGCCATTCCCTCTGAAATCCTGACTCCAGCAGGCTGTGAGGCTGTTGGTGTGTGTCTGGGGGAATTGCTGTTTATTTATCCCGGTGTTTCTTGGGTAGAACTGAGTGGTGTCTCAGGAACTTCAGGACAGTGGCTCTCAGTGGAGGATTAGGTATTCTGACGAGAGGAGTGAATTTGGGTTCTAATGAATTTTGTGTTGTCTGAGGCTCTGTCAGGACTAGCACTCTGAGCAGATCACATGGAAACACACAGATGGTTTTCCCAAAACGTGCAGTGTAGCTTTGAAAGAAAACAGGAGACAAGTGTGCCAGCCTGTAGAAGAAAAGGAGAGGCAAATAGAGAGCCAAGGTATATATCCTGCTTGATGCCAGTAAGATCAGCTGGTTTTTGGAGGAGATTTGAGAAGTGATGGTTCCAGGCGTTGGGGATCAATGATCAAGAGCTTCATTTTATCTGTGTTGTTACTTTGTGGATAAGAAATAGATACCAGCTGGGTGTCTGGCTTTGTATCATGTCCCTTTTTGGCAGTGATGCTGTGGGAGATGTGTCAGGATGAAAAGTGGAAAGAGAGCTGCTCTCTGACTCAGGGTTTGACAGCTTTAAAATCCTGATAGACTGGAATTTGTTTTCCACTACTGGTTTCTGTAGAGAGTAGTTCTTAGTTTGGGGAGAATCCTGTATCAGCAAGATGTACAAAGAGTGTTTGGTTTTGGTTTTTAGTACCACTTGCCTCTCTAAGTGAGGAGTGGGAAGCATTTGAAAACCAGTCAAGGTCCCACAGCTGAAGTAATGGCTCAGAAAGAGGCAAGTGGATTGTACGAGTGCTCTGTTAGGAGGTCAAGGTGCCATGTCCAGCCAACTCTGCTGTGCAGCTCTGGGAAACTGCTCCTGGTTCTGCCTGTCTTCACTTCTGTACAGAGGTTGTACCCTGCAGACATCTGCCCAAGCACTGTGACCTACAGTCACACTGAATCTTCAGTGCCCCAAGGTTTTATCTGTTTGTACGTGTCAGGTGTGAAATTATTAACCCCCCTCTTCTGCCAGGCAGCTCAGTGGTGGTTTACAGTGATCCTGGCTCCGTAATAAATCTAAGAGGATGTGCCTGTAATGCCCTTATTTAACTATCCATGCTGCACTTGCACTGTCAGCTCGATTGCCCTGAACCAGAGCGTTCCTTCACCGCTCACGAAGCCTGCCTTGCTTTGCAGGCCTGAGTCCTGGGGTAGGGCCGGTGGGGAGTGCATACCATTGACTTCAGCACTTTTTCCCTTCCAGCTAAGCCTGGAAAACCTTAGCCAAAAGACGGCAAACCACAGGGAAGTGGAGACGTGTGTGATGTAAGTGACATCTGACTTTAAAAACACCGGCCAGCACCACCAAACCTCCGTCCTGTCCCGTACCCTCCTCCCGCTGCCCCTCGGCTCCAGCTGCCGTGGACAGCCGTGCCATCCTCTGGGATGGCTCTAAAGCTCTGCCACCCTGGCTGCTGCAATGGGGCGAATTCGTAAAATCTGTGAATGTAACTCAGCAAACTTCATTAACGTAAACTTAGCGAACCTGGAGCCTTGTGTTCTGAGAGTGTGTTGGAAGAACCTGGCACGCCAAGTGCGGGGCTTGGCTAGCACCATTTTTCTGCCTCGTATGGCCTGAGGAGTTGGCAGAATCTTTGGGAGAATAATAAGTCCTGCTGGAAGTCACCATTTTCTGACTTGCTTTAACAGTCTTTTAAACCAATGTTTCAGTGTCTTGTTTTGCAGACTCTGGAGATAATTTTTTTTAACATGTACTACTTAAGAAAAATTGTCATACAAAACAGCCCAAGAGTTTCTTTTGCATGAAAAAAGCAAAAAGCTTCAAACACAGGACAAAAAATAAAGTAGGTGATGTTCCTGGTATAGCTGGGCTGTCAGAACTTGGAGAACTGTCTGTTCTGCAGACGGGGAGCACAGATCCATGGGGGTAACTTGAAGTATCAAAGGGAAGGAGAGGTCCCTGTGGATGTACTCCTGGCTGCGTTTTATTTATATTGTTCATTTGGAGCTGTGCAGTCCCTGGGGAAAGGGCGATGTCAGGAGCTATATTCCTCCCTTTGCTGTGCCCACTTGCTGTTCTAATAATAATTCTCCCTCCTGTCTCTACTGCTGCTGCATTACAACACAGTCCTTAGTGCAGGGAGCACCTCCTCCTCTCCCGAGCTGCTCCTGATAGTGGCTCTTCCTTTGGACACCACCAAATACCACCCCCTCCACAGCATGATAGGCCAAAACCAGTGCATGAGATACCTAATTTTATTTTCCTTCTCTGTCAGCTGGAAAAGCCAGTTTTGCCTATTTTTCCTGCCTTCTAATACCTCTTAGATTTGCCGGCTATGGATTTTCTAGTGTGTCTTCTATTGATTGCATAAATGGCCTCTTCACAGTGGGTCTGGTGGACCTCCTCCACGTGAGAACTGCTTGGTTTAGAAAAAACAAACAAAAACCAAGTTGGTTTTACTTGCCTGTGTTAGGGCTGACCCTGGTTCTGTTGGCAGTGGCTGGGGACGTTGGGGAGTGTAACTTAAGGGTAACATAAAATAAAATTCACTTAACCACGAGATTAAAGGACACATGCACAGACTGTGTGAAACATACTTTGCCATTTAAGCAAGCTCCTGAATTTTTGCAAATGTGTCTGAAGCTGCTCTGGAGCGCCTGGATTACCACGCGGAGCGCGCAGAACCCTCGGCCTCGCCGCAGGATTTAGGTCACCCTTGCTGCGGAGCACACAGGACCCGGGGTATTGTCCTCTTCCTGGAATTCCTGAATCACCTCCTGGCTACTTCTGACATCTGGTTTTTAGGTCTGGCTGTTCACTTTGATCTCCTTTGTTGGTGCTTTAAGTACTCGGTGTTTGTTCCGTGCTGTGGGAATGTGAATGTTGGCAGGTTTGGGACACAGCCTGGTGGGTTGCAATGTCCATGTCCTGCTTGCCTGGCTCCTGCCAAAGCTTGTGACATCTGGGTGGTATGTTTTGGACTCTGGCACCCATATGGCAGTTACCTGACCATACAAAGATACTTCCTGCCTTTTTCTGGAGCTCCTTGAGGAGTGGTTTGTGCAGTGCCCCCTTGCCTTGCACTGGTGCTCTGGCTGTCACGTGGGTGTGTAAAAACAAGTGGATGGGTGCTGCATCTTGTCCAAACCAGGAAATCAGGAGACTGCTTGGTTGGCAGGATGGCTCCCTAAATTGTCCCAAAAGCTGGGGGGGAACTGCCAATTCCTCCTGCCTTTGGTAGCCATGAAGTGTTTGTACAGGCAAGTATTTCTGGAGCCTCTTTGGTTGTTGTGAAGGTTTTTTGTGACAATTGCTTGAAAGATGCTTCTGGGTTCTTCCCAATGGCTGGAAGGAGTTAGCTTTGCCATTTCCTGGCTTCAGTTGGGACATGTAGTAATTATTTGTGCAAATAGCATCCAAACTGAGTTGCTGCACAAATGGAAACTTGTTGCTTAAAAAAGCACTCACTGGAACCACTAGAGAAGCTGCTGAAAGTAAAAGCTCTGCATTTGCCCAGTTAGAGGTGTGTTCATCTTGCACTAAAATCCTGAGCACAAAAGAGCTGAAGACCTGGCAGCCATTTCCAGGGGAGATGTTTTGTTGCTGCTGCTGCTGCTGTGAAATCTGTAGCTCATCTTTGGGTATCTTGTATGTTTGGAGCAAGATTTTAAACACCACTCTGCCTCTTACAGGCTTTCGTATTGCCTTACTTAGTCAGTACTGGGATTATCTACATTATATCTTAGTTTTTTGTTCAGATGATTATTGTACAATATGACATTTTGCTCATATGAACAGTATCAATATATCTGCAGGTACAATTGTGAGCAGTGCAAGCCATGGAATTAAATAGTCTTGAGGAGGCAGAGAGGAAGGAGAGGGCATTTTTTAGCATTCTGTTTAAATATTTGCTGTGTTTTAGCAATAGGAACTAGTGAGCTACAGTTTTCAGCAGTTACAGAAGAAAATGAAACAATAAGAGAACTGAGGCTGGTCTCTCTAAATGCAGGATAAACACCTCTGCAGAAGGCAAATTTGGAGAGGATTTCTTTGTCCAAGTGTGAAACCCAAGTGCTGTTTGTGCTACAGTCCTTTCGTTGGCAGTTCTGTGTTTGTGAAAAAGGTCTTTGGAGTTATTTTATTTTATGACTTGTATGACTGTTATTTTTAATTTTGCTCTGTTAACTAGTGCATTGTGCAATAATTACTCCCCTGCTTTGATTCTCAGCCATTATTTTTAATGAGTCTTGAGAAGAGTAACCTGTGGGAGAACTGCATGCTCTGTGTTACATCCCCATGGAACTGAACATGCATCTCATCTGGATGAGTTCACAGCAGCTCTCAATTTTTGAGTAACGTGAATATTTTCTTCTTCATAGGATTGAGTTTGCTCTAAAAGAAATCATGTCATCAGGAGGAGCTGAAGATGATATTCCTCAAGCAGAGAGGAAAACAGTGACAGACTTTTGCTACTTACTGGATAAGTCTAAACAGCTCTTCAATGGCTTAAGGTTAGTGCATCTTTGACAGAGCCTTGGAACACACACTTCAGTATGTGGTGCTGAAGTCAGCTGTATAGTAACCATTTTGAACTCAAACCCAGTAAGTTTTTTTAGGAGAGAACAATGCACCTATGTATGGGTAGTTTGGGACCACATGTAAGAATGTTTGTAGGAACAGAGGTTCCAGTTGATAGTAAACTAGAAGTTGGAAATTCCCTGAAATGGATAGAATTTGTACTGAAATGCTATGTATGAAGTGCACAGTTAAGGACTAGGTGTGGCTGTGTACAATCAACAGCATGCAAGTTCAAACCACCTCAATCTGTGCCAAAGAAAAAAGGGATGAGGAGGATTGGCCTAGGTGGGAGGAAAGGAGAAGAGGGAACATTTTTTGGGAAGAAATCTAGGATATGATAAACAGAAACATTCAAACCATACCCTGTATGTGTCTGGTGAAAGAAATGCTTAAACTGAACTGTGGAGAAAGGTAAAAGCTACATTTATCTACAAAGGATTTCTCATAACAACTAGAAAGTCTGGCTGATTTGTCTGCAGGCAAAGTAGAGTAAGGGGAGTTCAAGGAAAGTAGTTCAGGTTTGGACAGTGATGTGGACATCCTGTTTTGTCAATATATGCTGAGTTAAACATTCTGTATTCAGGATCTGGTTTATTTCTAAGCTTTGCTGTGGAGTCTCTTAAGCAATACGGGCTTGAGCTCATATCTGGTTGGCAGTTCAGCCTCTTCCTGGTCTCTGAGTAATCCTGTATGTTTGGGCCCATATAGCTTGCTGTTAGTCAAACACAGATGGTTAGCAAAGATGTTTTTAATTCCTCCGCCCCCCGCTATTGATAATCCTTTCATGTGCTTTAGGAGTTGATTACCAAATCCAAAACAAACAGTTTGTGCTCCAAAATCTGAATGGTGAATGGGCAGTGGAGACGAGGAGTTCTTGGTGATTGCATTTGACACCCTGTGAAAGAGTCTAAAGCAAAAGGACTGAGAGCTGGAGGCCAGGATTTGCAGGACCGTATACGACATTACACAGGCTTTCTGATACTCATTTGTACTCTTCAGTGACTTGGGCCAAAATTTCCAGCGAGCTCCATCACCGAATCACAGAATATTCTGAGTTGGAATGGACGCACAAGAATCATCGAGACTCTTGTCTGTCTCGATGATAGAGGTTGCTTGAAATTTTGGCCTGAGTCCCTGAAGAGTGCAGATGAATGCAGTTCATGTGTGGCTGTGTGCTGCTCAGTTCAGATCAGAGAGGTGGCAGGGTAGCTCCAGCCTGTCTGTCTCTTCTCTGGACATGGAAGGAGTTAGCACCCGTATCAGATTTCCAGATGAGAGTTGTAGTTTCTGTGTACATCCATAGTGCTTTGCCAAAAAGAAAGCCTCTCGTCCAGCTAGATGAAAAGAAAATGGAAAATACCTTTGGATGAAATGTGGCCAGTAAAAATAGAGAGATGGGCTTCAGCAGCCAGTTCTGCTGTGTGAAAATAAGAACATTCTGGAATGGGAGCCTGCCTCTGTCCTTACTGTAACCCGGCACGGTTAATGTTCTTCTTGCGCTGAACTTGATCACCATTTCACCTCTAAGACTTGTGATTGCCAAGGGCATAATGACTGGATAAAGCAACATTATAATTCTCAGGCATCTCATCTGTTAGAGCTTGTTCTCTGGGGAGTTCACCTGAAAATAACTTGGCAAGCATCCCAATTCTTAGTCCGGTTGCTTGCTTTTCCCTCCAGCATAATAAATGCATCTGATACATTTCTGCCACCTTCTGTTTTGAAGATGATGATGGCCTTTGCTGCTGTGTTTTATGCCATAGTCTTGTCCCTACCACATTTTGTGGAAAAGAAGTGACGGGGGAGGGAGAGGAGAGCAATGATTTCCTTCCCAAAACCTCCTCTGGGCACTTCAGCTACAGGGAGCTGAGCCTATGGCTGTGTTGGCAGCTGCTTAGCTGTTGCTGCTGCCAAAAATTGCAAGGGCTCAGCCTGCCACGTCTTTGTTTCAGTAGCATTTCCTTCCTCTCTTCCCAATACAGATGCCAAATACAGCATTTGAGGAAAACATATGATGGGCTGCCAGGGCTGCTGCTCGAAAGTGTACTTTGTGCTCGTGCTCCTGGTGATACCATCTCAGGTGGCCATGCCTGCTAGGATAGTGCAGAGGGGAGATTGTCTTTCTAGTGCCTGTGCCCTGGGCTATAAGTTAGAAAAAACTGCTGGTGAAGTGTGTTCCAGTGGCTCTATTCTCTGCTTTCCCCACTCCCACTTGCTTTTTTCTTGGAAAAAGTTGGAAAGAGGGAGGGTGTTAGGAAGCAGTTTTTCACAGTGTCCTGTCACTGGTATTATTTTCTTTTTAAGGTTAAAAATGCTTAAATGTGTTCAGTATCACAGAGGAGCTTGAAATTTTAAGAAATGAAAAGACTTTTCACAACCACGTTTTAGGGAAGGGATCGTCCCCTGTACTGGGCACTGCTGAGGCACCTCGAGTCCTTTGTCCAGTTCTGGCCCCTCACTGCACTGCAAGAAGGACATTTAGGTGCTGGAGCGTGTCCAGAGAAGGGAATGGAGCTGGGGAAGGGTTTAGACAGGAGCAGCTGAGGGAGCTGAGGGGGCTCAGCCTGGAAAAAAGGAGGCTCAGGGGGGACCTTTTCACTCTCTGGAAATCCCTGCCAGGAGGGGGGAGCAGGGAGGGGGGTCAGGCTCTGCTCCCAGGGAACAAGGGGCAGGAGGAGAGGGAATGGCCTCAAACTGTGGCAGGGAGGGTCAGGTGGGACGTCAGGAAGAATTTCTCCATGAAAAGGGTTATCAGGCATTGGAGGAGGTGGAGTCCCTACCCCTGCAGGTGTCCAAGGAAGGACTGGATGTGGCACTCAGTGCTCTGGGCCGGGTGACAAGGTGGGGATCGGGCACAGGGTGGGCTCTTTTCCAACCTTAATGACTCTGGGATTCACGGTGAGTGACAGTGTGTATTTTGTAGCACCATGTGTTTTGTAGATCCCTAGTAAGATGCAAGTGTGGAACCTCTCCGTTTTGTTCCACACTGCTGCTGCTTTGGAAACAACAGGACCCTGTTCAGCTTCAGGCAGTGCTGCAGGTGTCCCTGCTGTGGTCCTGGGAAGGGAGTGGCTTCTCCCACCGACCCCACTGGTGTGGCAGGTTGTGGGGAGTGCCCTGGTGTGAGTGTGCCTTTGTGGGTTGTTAGAGTCTGTGGGGAAGCTTCACTACTGTTATCCTGCTGCTGCTCAGTTCTGGGAACAGGAGCCTGTAATTACTACAAGCCCATGAACATAAAAGGAAATTGTCTTTTTATCACCTGTCAAAACTGTGAATGTATTTAAAGCTTTGAATATTAAACTTGCAGTTATTGTAACCTCCCTCTTTGAAGCATACTGCTGAGTCCCCAGGACTTTCTCAACTTCTTTACATCTCTGGAAGTTGTCCCTGTGTGACAACTTCCATGTGGTGCTGTCCAAGCACACCTCAGCACCTTTAATTGGGTTTCAGCCAGTATTATCTGGCTTCTGCCAGCAGTGTGGCTGAAATGAACTACTGACAGAGAATTCATTATGAGCACATAAGTAGTGCTGGTCTTTGCTGAGACAAGGAGTACAGCAAGAATTCGATAGAATTCTGGACTGTCTGTGGAATTTATTCACCAGCCACTCTAGTGCAGCAAGGGAACCAGTTTTTTGTGCCCACTGTGGGAAACCCACCCTTTTAGAACATCTGAGTTTGTGTCTTCATGTCCTGTTTGGAATGTTTTAAAAGCCAAGAAACTGGAAACGGTTTCCAGTTGTTGGAGGCTATTGTACTGTCCTAAATCGAGACATCTCCATCCCTCCTCTGCATCTGGACTCCTCTGGCTGTCCCTTTGTCCCTCCTGCAGCGGTGTCCAGCCTGAGTGCGTGCCCCAGCACTGCCTGTTCTGAGCCAGCAGCCTGGGCTGGCACACCCTGCAGGAACCTGAGCCTGCTGTCTTTGTCTCTCCATCCTGTTCTGGTGTCCTGCTGTAGATCTGGAAGCAGTGAAATAAGGACCTATAATATCGATCTTTCGTTCTGAAGTTGGGTGTGTAATTGTTTCTGGGTCATGTATTCCCTGTCTCCATTGGTGGGAGGATCTGTGTTAACAACCCACTCTGCAGTCGGCTCAGGCTTTAGGATTCTTTTGAGGTATTTCTCCTCTGGTGCTATTAAAAAAACTGCATTATATGTCCTCTTTTGCCTATGCAACTGTTTTCTCACAGCCAGATTTCTTGGTACATGTGAGCAGCATGTGATGTTGAGCACACAGAGCAGTAAATGGATGGCAGGAAGGGCAGCTCTTGTCTGCGAGAAGCTGTGGTGAAACCACGGTAATGTATTGTCATAAATGAAGTTTTATTACAGCCATGTCAGAATACTATCAAAAGAACAAGTGCTACTGTCTGTTTCCATGGAGATCTTTCCCGTTCCCTGGGGAGCCGAGGAATCCATAGTATTGTGCAGCTATGCCAGCTGCAATTAGGGAGCACGCTGCTTGAGGAATATCCATGTGGACAGCCAGCAGTGGCTGTGGGCAGCAGTGGCCAAGCACACGGACGCTGGGCTAACAGAGGCTTCTTAAAATGACACTGATTTTCAGATACTCAGATCTAACACAGCACAGTGAGTTGGGCTGGGCTTTACAAGAATGTTCAGGCTAGGAGGAAGGTATGGAACTGGCTGACAGGGGAGGTATAGAGAGTGTAGTAATTATCTGACTGGTGAGGGGTAGATGTATGAGCATGATCAGAACAGTTACCTGCTTATTTCTTAAGGGCTGCACATACCTTCTTCTCAGAGTCCGAGAGAAGGGTGTTTTCATGTTCCCATATGTTAGACTTCTGCTCAGATGTCCTGAGCAACTTGGCCTATCAGTTTACTACTGGTAGGGTTTTTTGAGTCAGCTTCCTAATTCAGTCATTCTGTAAGTTAGTGCTGGGGAACATTTGTATATTTTTTTTTAGATTGATCCCTTTTAGTGTTGTTCTGTATTTGTATTCACTTTTTATTTTTACTTTTTAACATTGAACCTTGTGGATGTGCTAATTAGATTAAAGGTACCTCTTGCTATGTCAGAACCTCCAAGTGTATCTTGGGCATTTGTTGGACTTCTTTTGTTTAGCTAAAATGTTTACCTCTATTACAACAAGAGAAAGTGGTGCACCATTCCTTGCAGGCATGTGATTGTATCAAGCTGTATCTGGCTGAAGCTGGTGCCCTGAAGCAGGTGTTTAAATTCCTGTTCACCCTTGGCTACACCAGCCTGAGTTCCAAGGGGTTGAGACTATTTCCTTAATGAGTAGCAAGAAATATGATGATGATGCATGAGTCTAAATGAACTAATTTCCATTAGATTATTCTACTTGCTCTTGGGGGAGGTGTTTTTTTTTTTTTTTACTATGGTGTTTTAAGAGTCCAATTTAGCTTTTTGTACATATAACCATAAAATTACTTCTATTTTAGCAAGACTATAAGATGTTTTAAATCATCTGTGGCATGTAGGAACGTGGTTGTTTCCTATTTGGAGTGATCCAGTAACAAGAGGTTCTGAGAAACTCCGGGAGTCATGGTTCCCGTAGTTTTGGGTGCAGGCAGAATTCTGAAGTACTGCAAGTCAGTCCTGAACAAAGCTGCTCTGACTTGGACACAAACAGGCTGTCACATTGGGCTGACTGCAATGTGCTCCCTCACTCTGCCTTTGCCACTGTCTCTTGCAGGGATTTACCTCAGTACGGGCAGAAGCAGTGGCAGTCCTATTTTGGGCGAACGTTTGATGTTTACACCAAACTCTGGAAGTTCCAGCAGCAGCATCGGTAAGGGGATGTTGTAGCAGATAAGTTGTGTGGGTTTCAGCACAGCTTTAATCTCTGGTGTGCCCAGGGCCCCAGCTAAGATTGAGGTTTCACTGTATTGTTCAAGCATGAAGGGAGGGAACAGCCGCTTCCTGCAGCGCTCACAGTCCAATGAATTAAAATGTTGCAGAGTTTTCAGTGTGACTTTTATAACAAACCCTTTTGCTCTACCTGAGTGTGTGGTGCTTTAATGTCTTACTGAGGAGATGATGGATTCTGCAGAGCAGAACCCATCTGGAATGGTGTGAAGCCTCTTGCTGCAGCGTGGGCTCTGATCCTTCACACCTTCCGCTGGCTGCGTGGTCTGAGTGTTCTCCTGGGAAGTTGTGACCTTTTGTTGGTTGTATTTTGTGCATCACACTTTTGTCTGGTTCTTGCAAGTTAATGCAAGATAAATGGTCTTTGTTCTGGGGGGTGTGCTGTGCTGTTGCCTTGTGGGGGCTGCTACTGGGAATGCTGCACCAGGAATGAAAGCTGAATTTGGCCGTGCGATGGCTCTTTGTCTTGTCTGGTGAGATGTTCTGGGAAATTCGGGAATGCCTTTTAATCTTTCTTTTCTCTCTTGCAAAATAGACAAGTACTGGACAATCGGTATGGGTTGAAGAGGTGGCAAATTGGGGAAATTGCTTCCAAGATTGGGCAGCTCTATTACCATTATTAGTAAGTAAGCAGAGAAGAGGATTCAGTGGGGAATGCAGGGTTAGTGCAGTTCCCTGCCAAAGGACTGGATGCTCAGTCAGGAGGAATCAGTGATTGGGCTGAGTCACGATGCCTGTTTCTGAATGAGGGCCCTGGGGACTGCATGGGGCTGCAGGGAAAGGCACCTGTGAGCCTGGGACCTCCTGCCACCAAAGTGTTTTCCATGCGTGCTGCATTGGACTGTCCTGCAAAAGTGTGATTTACAAGTTTGGAAGCTTTGTGTTCCTTTAAACTTCCCAATGAACCCATCACCTGTACATATGGGTGCAAGATGGGCAGCTTTGACTGTTAGCTGAAATGGGATCCAAGCTCTGAAATCTGGCTTCCCAGAATGAGTCTGGCTTTCATATGGTGTTACTTGAGGAGGGAGTTTTGCTGTGGGTGCACAAGCGGGTTGAGGGGGCAGGAAGGGAGGGTTTGGCTTGGATTTCCATCTGGGGCAGTGAGCTAATCTGATTCTTCCTGTGCAGCCTGCGCACCTCAGAAACCAGCTATCTCAACGAGGCTTTCTCCTTCTACTCAGCAATCAGGCAGAGGTCGTACTACTCCCAGGTCAACAAAGAGGACAGGTACGTCTGAATGGATGCCCTTGTTTGTTCAAGACTAGAACAGTGCATGGAAACAGCCAAGAGCTATAAACTGTAGAAGCATAACTGGGATAAAATCTATGTTGTTGAAGGAGGTTTCTTTTAATCCTCCTGCCATGATTAAAAACCTGATAAAGATAAATGAGAGCTTTGCTGTATGACTGGAGGAATATTCTATTACCTGGTCCTGGATAGAAAGCCATTAGCCCCAAAGTTCTGTCGTGTTTAGTCCTGAGCAGTATCAGTGCTGGGACCCAGAATGCTGTGGCTGGAAGATGAGTCAGCTGGGCTGAACAGTGGAATCTGTTTGATTAGGCTTTTCAGGGGAACATCAGTTAGTACTGCAGTACAACGAGGTTTGAAGAGCCAAACATGATATCTGACCCCCATGCCTTTCTCACATAAGGAGACTGTGGAGAAGGGGGAGGCTGTGGCTTTCTTAGATATTTTTTATGTCCCTGTACCCAATTTTAAATAAACCTCTAAGCAGCCAGGCAGCTATTGATCACGATATGACCTCAGTCAGAACTCTTAATCTGCAAGTGTTCAGCCTTGCTCTGGTCTCAAACTCCTCCTCTCCTTTACCCCCGATACCTCCCTCTGTTCCATTTTATTCTCAAATTTGGCTGTTGTGTTTTGTTGTTGTGTTTAGGCCTGAACTGGTGGTTAAGAAGCTGCGTTACTATGCAAGGTTTATTGTGGTCTGTCTCTTGCTCAACAAAATGGATGTTGTAAAGGACCTTGTGAAGGTATGTTAAAATAAGGTTAAAGGTGCTGAGGGGTGGGAGGTTGCTGATCCTCTCTTTTCTAGTCTATCTGACATCCTACATAGCGAACATCATCTGCGATTCAGACATTTAGTAATGACACTTTAAGCTCAAACGATTTGACAGTGTTGTTTGAACACAAAGTAAAAATATTCCAATAGCTGCAGCCTCGTCAGGGAGGTGCCCTGTGACTGCAGCAAAGGAACACCAAGCTGCTCCCCACAGCATATGCTTCCCAGCCCCTCCGACAGCCTCGCTGCAAGCAGCTCCCAGTCTTGATGGTTTTGTGTAGGTTGCATTGCTGTCTCTGTGTCTGAGCTCCCTTGAACTGCTAGCTTAGCTCAGCAGCAGCTGAAACAGCCACACCATTCCCTTCCTCAATGTATTTAAAGTCACTTGTAAGCTGAAATTTGAGTCCTTGGCATCCGTAGCTTATGGTAATAACCAGTGACAGAGCTGCTTGTGAGTGGGATAGTTAACTCCAGATATTCTTTGCATTTGGATCTACTTAAAAGACAGTTTGCATTGCCAAAACGGAGTGCAGCGTTGGCATTCTGTCTGCTGAAAGAGCGCGTTTTGGCTGGCATGTTAGTCAGAAGTGTGTTGCATATGTTCCCAAGGAATTTATTTGTTATTCCTAAAGGCCAGCACAGCTAACCAAATGTAAAGTTACTGCCTGCCTGTTAGACTCTCGGTTTGAGAAGTGACTGTGTCTGCCTTTCAACTGTCTACATCAGGAGCTGTCAGATGAAATTGAAGACTACACTCATCGTTTTAACACTGAAGATCAGGTGGAGTGGAACCTGGTTCTTCAGGAAGTGGCAGCATTTATTGAGGTGAGAATACCATTTCCTTGTAGCTGTTTATTCAAAAGTAAGATTTTCTGTCTTGTGCACCGCAGTGGTGCTGTATCCCCACTGAGGTAAGCAGGGGCAGGGACAGTGTGCCTGTCCCGTTTACTCATGGATGTGTTCATGGGACAGCCCTCAACACGAGTATTTAAATATTGCCAGAAGGGTGGCAGCATTACCATTCACCTCCTTTGCTGTTCATTGCTGGGAAGGCAAACTAAAATAGAGCAGAGTTATTCTGAATGAAGGAATATTTAGTTTATTCTGTGTGAATCTGTAGGGTTGTTGATGCTGTCTGGCTCCTCAGGTACAGAGAGGCTGAAGCAGAGCGCATGTCATTGGAGGCAGTGTGCTTATCTGTTTGCTGTACTTTCATGCACTAGTACCGTGTATTTCTTGCAGTCCCTAAGAACTTTGCCTTTCCATGGGGGAAGGCATTACCCTGTGGCCTGCATGCAGATAGATAAGTATGTATACAGAAAAGTCATTTAAAAAATCTGCCTCAGTTATGAAATGTTCTGTAAGTGGTGAGGCCTTTGGACTTTTCTCTGACTGCACATCTGTATGTTTTCTGAATTCCTGATTTATTCTGGTTGCTTTTTTCAGGCAGACCCTGTCATGGTTTTAAATGATGACAACACCATTGTAATCACCTCTAACAGGCTTTCTGAGACGGGAGCTCCGTTGCTGGAGCAGGGGATGATAGTGGGACAGCTTGCTCTTGCAGATGCACTGATTATTGGGAACTGCAACAACCAGGTAAAAGAAATTCTGGAAACCTGGGTTTACATCCCCCTTGGCAACCTTTCTGATCATACAACAGTGAATCCAATAGAGGAGAACTCAAAAAATATTTTTATTGTGATGTTTGCAATGGCATCAAGAAGAAGAGGTTCTCAGAAATAGGAGCTAAAAATGAAATGTTAGATATTAGACCTGTGGTACTCTTACTACTTGTATTCATCATGTCAGTTAAATTGATACAATTGATTTTCTTATATTGGATTGTTCTTAACATTTGTGCACGAGAGGCCTCTGAGATGTGTCTTGAAAAAGCTTGACTTAAGCTTGCACGTGACACACTCCAGTTTGTTGCAACTTCAGTGGCAACAGGAAGAGGGTTTTAAAAGACATTCAGAGTCTTTTTTTTTTTACATGATGATGGTGAGGTTATACAAACATCATGACTTCTCTCTGAGCTCTTTTTTCAGATAAGCAAGGGAGTTGCATCTAAATGGCACTTAGTGTGTCTGTATCAGGTTTTGTTTGGATTTATAGTCCGTAGCCATCTCAGCACTGGATTTGCAAACAGCCTGGAAAAGTCTGTAATGTGGAAGCAGGGGTCTGCACTGCAGTGACCTGTTGGGGCAGAGCAGTTACAAGGAGACTTTGTCTCAGTGAGCTTTTCCAGAAGCCCTTCACGGCTCTTTAGAGATTTGAAGAGGGCACTGACAGATTCCTGAGAGAGAGAATGGCCTGTCTGGTATGCAGTGGAGTCTCTTATCTGGATAATTCCAGAGAAATGCTGTTCAAGGTGTATCTGTCAGAATAAACTGTTTGGCTCTCCTGCAGGTCAAGTTCAGTGAATTAACAGTGGACATGTTCCGAATGCTGCAAGCGCTGGAGAGGGAACCGATGAACTTGGCGTCACAAATGAACAAGCCTGGAATGCAGGTCAGTTCCACTTCAGCGACAAACCTGGCAGCAGATCTTAACTGGGTCTTTTGGTTGTTTGATTTGTATACTCCCTCAGTGCCGTCACTGTGCAGAGCAGGTCAGTAAAGGTGTGTAACCTACTGGAAGTTAGTGAAGAGCAGCTCAAACCTGGACTCCTCAGGTTGCTAGGGCATCTGAAAGTTAATATCCCCTGCTGAGAAAGCATAAAAATATTGTAGCTGGGGGCATAAGGAAATATGAAGAATGTAATTTATTCATTTGAGGTGAAGAGTGAATTTTGTCGCTCTTTTCTTGGGCAATGCTTTAGAGAGTAAGAAAGATTTAGGTAACAAGTTTAAACGGGGGATACTACAAAGTTGTTCAAATACTGTGCATCTTGCTTTACTGTGTAACAGGAAATGCACCATGGGCAGACCATTTGTGTAGGAAGTGTGTTGGAGATTCTAAAAAGTAGAAATTTAGAGGGTTTTGAAACTGCTTTGATGATATCTGTTTTGAGGTTTTTTTGAGTAGTGTTTTTGTTTGTTTGTTTTAACAGGAATCGACAGAGAAACCAGCAAGGCGGGAAAACCCCCATAAATATCTACTTTATAAACCAACTTTTAGCCAGCTATATACATTTTTAGCAGCATCATTTAAGGTTTGTGAAATTGCTGAATTTATTTGTCAGAAAAATATCCAGGGTGGTTTGTGACACTGAATAAAAAGTGGATCTCCGCTGATCTGGAGAACCGAAAAATGTTAAAATGGAGTTCTTTTACTTCATGTCATGCCAAACATAATCCCAAATCAGGGAAGTACCTCAGGAAACGGTACTGTATAGCTGCCAAATCTCCAGTCCTGTATCCCATTCAAATTGTATCCTGCACAAGCTGTATTTTTAGCTGCCTGTCTTGTTTCCTTACCCCCTACTCTCCTCCAAACCAGTCATCTATACATTAGTAGATTTTTTTAATACAGTTGCTGCACTTATTTTAATTTATCAAAGTTGCTGGGCTCATTATGCTGAGTTCTGACTGTACACGTCAGTGACTTAGGATTCAGTAGTAAAACCAAAATATGAATCCTACAAAGAAACAAGTTTCAGTTTGTCTCAAGGAACAGCTGGTGAGGTGCAGGAAGTTCATCCTTCTTAGAATTTTGTGTGCCTGCATGCTCAGCCTTTGGCAGAAATTAAAAATATCTGTTCCCTCATGGAAACAGCCCATTAGAAGGGTGGAAAATAGATTTCTTTTACAGGTCTATACAGAAAGCTGGATGTGTTGTGCATGCTGGCCAGCTGAGAAGGGCCGAGGGGAAAAGGCAGATGTTGCAGACTCTGGGGTATTTGGAAACAAAGCCTCCTTTGTGAATTGTTGGGGAGTTGGGGTCTGCATGGATCTTGGCAGAGTAAGGGAAGCCAGAAGCAGGACTAGCACAATGATAATGGCAATGTATTTGTGAAGGTGATGGTTGAATATTAAAATAAACTTGTCCCTTTCTTCCCCTGCTACTCTCCTCGTGTGGATTCCAGGAGCTGCCTGCAAACAGCGTGCTGCTGATTTACCTGTCTGCCACGGGCGTGTTTCCATCAGGTCGTTCGGATAGTGAAGGTACAATAAAGGAATGCTCCCTGTCATGAACAGGGCTTGAATTCTCTTTATGTTCCAGGACAAGTGACCAAGAAAGCTGTCACAAAGCTCCTTTCAAAGACAAGTCAATTTGATTCTCCTATCTACTTAGTAAGATAGCCTTTTTTTTCCCCAAACAGTAATTGATTATTTGTATTTTAATTAATGTGCATTAACCTGAGAACTTTTCAAAGGACACGTCCGGTTGTTGATGCATCTGAAGTATTAAAAGCTTCCCCAATTTTGAAGACCACATGGCTCAGCTGATGCATCAGTGCAAAGTTCATAAAATGGCTGAGTGGCACTTTGTGGTTCTTTCCTATCCCCAGCACCAGGAGATGGGTGGTGAAAGGGCTGAAGCGGCTGCAGGGACTGGTCTATTTGCACGCTCGTTAACCTGACAATTCAAGCCCTTCTCATGATTTCTGACAATTCCCCTCACCTCATCCTCCTGTTCTTTGCAATCTAGCAGAATATTTGGATGCAGCTGCAATGCAAAAGCTGAAAACTGGTTGGCTAAAGTAAACACAGTGCAAAGATCTGTTTATATAATTCAAGAAAAAATCCAAATACCTTTTTAACATCCTAAATATTGTACGAACCTCATCTGTTTGAGACTTGCATTCCTTTATAAGATGCATGCCTTGTCCTCCCCGGTGCATGATTTATAGAGCTCTCAAAATGTTAAAAATAAAAAAATCCCTGTCAGCTTTGGATTGTGGCAGTGATTTTTTTAAGTGCTTTTAACATTTTACTTCTTGCTGCAACTAGGTGGTAGGTTCTAACTGAGGCATGTTCTCCAAGGCCTGTGGTGTGTCCACCTCACTGCATGTGTTGTTTCAGCTTAAGACCTTGTGGTAGAGGCACCTGAAGAGCTGCACAGTCAGAGTGCAGCTTTCAGTCAGCGAATCCCATCCCAACTGCAATCTTTTAATAAGGTGGTGTGGTGTGCACAGAGTTCTGCCTTATTAAAAGGGAGAGCAGCTGCAAGTTGCACTGTCCATCGCCTGTGAGCAGCTTGTGTTTGGCAGACCACGTGAGGTGTTTGTAACTGTGCTGAATTAATGTCTGTTCTGTTCCTGATTTTGTATCCCCAAAGCTTCCCTCTAAACGGAAAGGTGCCTTGTATCCAAACCTGAAAAAATTGCATTTGGTGGCCAAATAGGGGTCAACCAACTCTGCAAATGTACCACAGAATGAGGAAACCCTAATACTTTAGTTTGCTAATGTTAGTGACATTTCATATCCATACCAATGGCAGAAATATATCTTGATATCTTGTAGGATGGGATATTTTTTATAGCCATTGCTTCCATCTTAGCTCTCCATCAGACAGTCAGGGGGTAGCTCAGTTGTGCACACTTAGCAGAATGCTTCATTAGCTTACCATGGGAACACATGTCCGGGGTGTGTGCGTGTGGAAATTGTGAATTCTGACTTTGAAATCTAAAATATAAACCTTTGCTGCAGATTTGAAATCTGGTTAAATCTGTTTTGTCCTTTTGTCATTCTCTGAGCTCTCTCTTCTCCCCTTTGCAGTGTTAGAACTGCAGATGATAATAATATAGCCATTATTTTTTATTAATTTATCCTTACTTTTTTATCAAATTCTGAATCTGGAATATGCAAACCCATACAGTAATTTTACAGAGGTTTTGATTTTCCTGTTTCAGGTGTGTAATGGGTTTTAACCTTTTTCTCTATAGTTTAACAAGAGCCAATACCTGGATCTTTAGTATTATGTTTGAGAATAAATAGTGAATAATTAAATTAGAAGTTATGAAGTTGCATTGTTTGCTTCTATTTGATAGATGCTGAAACTGCTAAGAAAGTATAAAATGGAGTATGTAGTGAGCAAAGGCTCCACATTCCCCTCTCCCCTCCTTACAACTGCAGTAGTTCAGATTCCTTCAGTTTTCTGAGATTTGTTGTTGCTTCCTCCCTCCCATATAATCGTTAAATGTCTCAGGGTGAGTTGCCCCTGCTGATCTGAGCTTCCTTTCCCCCGTGTAGGTCCCTATGACTTTGGGGGTGTTCTGACAAACAGCAACCGGGACATCATCAACGGGGACGCGATCCACAAGCGAAACCAGTCATACAAGGAGATGCACTGGTGAGTGTCACAGTGGGACACCTGTGCCTTCAGAAGAGTTTGTCTTCAGTAGAGAAAAAGGCATCAAAGCCTCTGGAATTCAAACTCCTCAGTCAGGACATCACAGAGGAGATTGGCTTGAAGTTGAACACTTAGAAATGAATGTGCAGCTTCAAATGATGATTTAAACACTTCAGAAGTATTGCTGTGACGTAATGTAACTTCTTAATTACTGGCAAACTTCAGATTAACGATGGATGATTTCTCAAGAAGATAAACATCTCTCGAACTAATAACAAGTCCCATAGGCCATATTATAGAGAATACCAAGTGAGTTGTGTAGTTATTCCCTGGGGACGAATCCGAGGCCTGGGGCACGGGGAATCTGCTTGTTTTTTATCTGGGTGTGGGCAGCTGTGTGGCTGAGCAGTTCCAGTGCTCTGTGAGGTGTCCCTTTCTCTTTGCAGCCTCCACCCTGGAGATCTCTACCCTTTCACCAGAAAGCCTCTGTTCATCATCGTGGACTCTTCCAACAGCGTCGCCTATAAGGTAAGACCCTTGAAGGCAGCTCCTCGTGTGGTAGGATACAGTGCCAACCCCTAGTTAGCTTACACTTTTAACAGGCTATTTTTTTTAAACAGTTTGTATTCAGTCTTTCTTTTCTTTTGAGGTTGTGCATGCTAGTCAGGATCTGACCCTATGAATAGGAACAAGAAGGAGAAGCACATGAACAGCCGCTCATTGGAAAGTAATAAATCCTCCTGGAGGGAAAAAAGGTTCAAGATTTCCAAGGTCTCTGGTGGGAGGTTTATTTTTGTTTTATACCAAAGACAAATCTCGGTGTGTGTGCATGGGGGAGGGAGTTAACTAATGTGCTTTTCTTTTTTCCAGTCATCCAACACTCAGTTGCTTTTAAGCAACAGAAAGGAGTGAAAGCATTGAGCCTGCTCTTATAAAACAAGGGGTGTCTGTGTCTGAACCAAGGAAGTAACAAGACTCAAATTAGCATCCAGTGTTACTGTAGAGTGGTATTTGCTTGGACACTGAGCCTCCTTCCTAGGGTGCTCTGGACTTACAGTAGAATTGCTCCATGACAAATCACCTCTGGGAATCCACAATTCGGGTAATACAGAAGCAGGCACTGCACTCACAGTGGCCAGTTGAATCTGCAGAGCATTACACATTTATTTCATTCATGAATGGGGTAATAAGAATGTGCTATATCTGGGGAAAGTGCCACTTCTTCTGTCTTCCTTTTATAGCTCCATTACGTGCAGTGAGGAAAGGGAACAAGCACAGCTGTGTTTCGGAGGAGGAACAGGGACGTCTAGTGGCCAGAGGAACTAGTGCCTTGTTCAGAGTCCACAGTCTGGGCCACTTGTTTTAAAGGCATTTGTTGGCCAAGGAGAGGTACTAAATAAGTGGTCAGTGTAATTTGGGAAGCTCCTGCCTGACACTCAAATGTGGCCTCTCCAATAGGTCTTTGCTGGACTCTAATGCATCTCAGAGGGCTTTTTAAACACCACTGCATTTAAGTTCACCACACTAGGATTCAGAGCAAATCTGCTTTTTATTAATTGCCCTTCCCCGTTTAAAGGGAGGGAAACACAATTGGAATGATTTACTTGTCTTTCTGAGAAAATGAGTGTTTGGTAGGGATTTATTTTCCTCTGCTCTTTCCTGACATTCATTCCAGTATAACATCAGGAAGGTTGGTTTTGTTTCAGGGGAAGAAGTGTGGCTCAGGTTTGGTTTTTGGGTTTGGTTTTGAGTTTTGAGTTCCTTCCTCTAATAGAATTGCTGAAAGATGTCAAGTGGATCAACTCTGTAAGGGAGTAAGGGATTCCTGGTCATCCTTAATTCAGATACAGCTCTGTGGACAGCTTAGAGCACAGGGTCTGTTTGGGGTGATGGATTTCCACATGAAGATTTGCAGCTCTTGTGAGAATAACTGTCAAGTATTTACAGTGGAATTTTCTCTTTGTATTACATTTAAATTTGATAATTTTTTTTTTTTTTTAGATTTTGTGGGCACACAGTAAGCAAAACTGTAACCTCCACTGAGTTTCTTTTCCTTGCCCTGCAGTGAACTGACCGACAGTAGTGCAAAACTCGCCAGTGCTCTGTCTGTTCAGCACACAGAGCAGCTGGGGGAGAGCAGTCCAGCTCTGCCTGTGTGGAAGGAGCACAGAAATGGGAGTTTTGGAAGTACTTCAGGACAGGATTACAGAAGTGGCTGCTAGGAGCTCTGACCCAGATCAGAACTGTGTGGGCACAGCTGTGAGGAATCTAAGAAGAAATATGTTCAGCATTTCAGAAGTGACATTCACCTTCCTTATCTCTTGAACCTGAGCGTAGGCAGGCAGGTGTCTGGGGACAGGGTTAGGTGTCTTGTTGTGTTTTCCACTGAAGGTACCTGGCAGAGCTCTCAGTGTCAGTGTTTCCCAGCCCTGGAACACTCCTGCCTGTCCCTGTGCTGTGCGTGCTGGGCTCCTTGTCCCCACAGTGCCCTGACAGGGCTGGCGTGTGACTGTCCCTGGGTGGGCTGGGAGGGGCTCTGTAGGCTCGAGTGCTGGCATGAACAAAGAGGTTCTGTGCAACCGTGTGAGAAGTTGAAATCAGTACTGCCTTTTTTCCACATGGCTGCCCTGATCTTTCCCGATAGGACAGGAGCTATCCTGACATTTAAATGTCACTGCCGGCAGTACGGGCAGCAACAGCAACTGCTCACACATCTTTTTCTGCAGCCCGTTCCTGCTCTCCTGCACGCATCCCTGTCCTCTCCCCCTCTCTGCAGGGCTGAAATGGTGATGACTGAAAGTCAGTCCTGCCAGGAAGTGACTTGCCAGTTTGTCAAATCAGCGGCACTTGAACAGCTTCCTCCCTGTATATTTAGCTGAAAGTGGAAGATGACTGCAAATCGAGCATGTCTACTGAAAGCCGTGAATTTTTTATAACACTTCCATTTAAATATAGATGGCTGTGTGTTCTTGAAGGTTACCACTGCATATGTGGATGAAATAATATTTTTAGATCAATATCATCCTGTAGCTGTGGTTGTCTAGGATCACGGATCATCGTCAGATGCAAAGTCTTAAAATCAAACCAAACCCAAACCTACAGCCAGTGAGAATGCAAGGCCTTTGTGGTCCAAGTACTCAGCTTAACAAAGCCTACACGTGAAGTGACTTCTTTTGGGGATGACACGTAGTTCTTCTTTCAAAAGAGATGTACATGCATTGTAAGAAGCAGCAGTGCTTCTGTGGGAAACTTGGCTGAAGTCAAAAACCAGAGCCAGTATCAAAACAAAACATGGATTATCCTTATTGGAGTCATCCATGCACTGAAAGGTAGGGCATTCCTTATCCAGAGCTGCTGTCAACACCTGGACTGCAGGGCAGGTTTTCCTGGTGCACCACTGGCCCTCTGCTCCCAGCCATGGCTGTAAATGCTCCGCTTCCTTTGTTCCATGTATGCCACAGCTCTTTCCTGGGGAAATCAGGAGCTGGGGGGTGGTGGTGGTGAGTGAATCCTGGTGTTCACCTGGCCTCTGCTAGGCAGCTGTGTGTGGGCAGGAGCCTGGAAGTCAGTGTGTCCTGGATCCGTGGTGCAGGGGGAGCAGGTGGCAGGAGCACCTGCCTTCCAAAGAGCACGGTGTGGGTTGAGCCGTGGAGTTTCTCCCCTGGGCAGGACTCAGTGGCTGTGTTGGCTTCACCTGCTGGGACAGAGTCCAGAGTGCTCCCAGATACTGCAGGGAGTGATCCCGTGCCTGGGATACCCGAGTGACCCGGGGTTGCTCTGGGCACTGCTGAACTGTGGTGTTCCTGCTGCTGCTGGCAGGTCTGCTTTGGTCTGTAACTGAGTGGTATAAGATGGAGTTAAAGTCAACCTTTCTTTTTAGTTCACTTTCACCTGTCCAGTTCCTGGGCTGGCCTGGAGTTACTGCAAGGGAAGAGTCTTTGTTTCTTCATTAGAGACCAAACCTTGGGATCCAGCATTATCAATCTTCCTTGGGCTCCTAATGAACTCAGAGGGTTTTTAGGACTAGTCAGCATTCTGTCGAAGATGGGAAGTGTTTTATTTTGATTAGACTAGATTACTGTCTTTACTATTTAGCAGATTTAGATTAAATTAATTCTGTAAAACTAATTTAACTGAAATATACTGCCCGGAAGGGAAAGTTCCATTTGAATTACACAGAGGCCAAGAAGGAATTAAAAAATTAGCTTTTTGAGGATTCTGCACAAGCAAATACTTCTGGTGTTGTGTGTCTTACAGCCATAACCTGACAGTTTTAAGACTGTAATTTGCAGATGTGTGTGTGGCACTCGTGTGCTCTGGATGCAATGGTTTGAGTCTGTGCTCTGAGAGGGTGCAGACACAATCACATCTTTTATGGATTTGCAAGCCTGCATGGTTAAGAGAGCTGTTCTGGTGACAGCTAATGAGGTTATGTAAATGATTGTTGGCGTTTTTCCCCTCTGTGGTAATTATTTACCACCAGACAGATACACAGTAGGACTGTTATCAGGTAAATGTTGCTGGAACTGGACAATGGTGGTGGTTGAGGTTCTGGAGAAATCCTTGTGCAATGGGACACTTTTAGGGAATATTTAAGGTGCAGGTGCAGGGGACATGAAATGAGTATTGTAAAATGAGGTGCAGTGCAGCAGATGTTAAGGTTATTACATACTTGTTTTAAAGGAAACTTATTTTAAAACTCTTCTCCTCTGGGCTTTCCTGTTTCATTAGATATAGTTCTTCCTGATAGAAAGAAAAGGGGAAAGAAATTACTTTGGCTGGACAGTTCATTTGGTATTGAGGGAAGACGCAAGAGCTGTTTTGACCTGAAAGCCAATGGCTTTTACCGCAGAACATTTTTTTCAATGCCATCAGTACCAGTGAAATGAGAGAACTGTAATTCCTTTAGAATGTAGTGGGTTATATTCCTTCTGTGTGTGATCTGGGCAAGTGAACTCGTCAGGCTGATGGCCAATGCTGAGCTGTGCAAGGGGCATTAGTGTCTCTGTCATTAATGGGATTTGTACCCTCGACCTGCTGAATATTCAAGGCAAGCAAAGTGACCATCAATACTTCAAAACTCTTATCTGTTACAGAATTTCACAAACTTATTTGGACAGCCATTGGTGTGCTTGCTTTCTCCAACAGCATATCCAAAAGCATTGCAAGGTATGTGCTGTATTGCATTTCCCAAGAAGTTGCAGTTGCATCCCATATCTATCCCAAACAAATAGTACTTGGATTCCTCGGGAAAAGACACCTTTTCACTACTGTGTAACCCCTAAATCAGGTTGACAGTGGCTGAAGTAATATGATAAAGTTTATTTACTGTTTATGGTAAATAATTTATTCTAACACTGATGATATTTCTACAGTAAGCTCCAACAAGTGGTAGGAGCAAAGCCTCTCCAAACAGAAACTGAGGAAATTGCTGTCCCAGGCAGGATGATGGTTTTAGCACTTTGGGCAGCTCTGTTAGTCCCAGAAAGGGAGCAGAGACAGTTAAGGTGTCTTGGTGTTAATGCACGTCCCCAGCAAGGCTTTATTGCCCGTCACTGGCCAGATCTCCATGAGAGAAGGTGTAACTAAGACAGAGGAGTAGCTCCTCTGCTATGGAATTTAGCGGGTGAGTGACTTCATTCTGTGGCAGGGACAGCGTTTCTGTTTCATGTGCCAAATGTATCTCTTTGTCTATTGATTTATTTTTCCTTTTAGATCAGTCTCAGCGGGGTAGCCTCTTCACACTCTTTCTGAACAATCCTTTAATGGCATTCCTGTTTGTCTCTGGATTATCAAGCATGCGCAGAGGATTGTGGGAGAAGTGTCAGGATTACCTTCGGAAAATCAACCGGGATATTGCCCAGCTCCTGACCCACTCCCGCTCCATAGGTATGGCCTCGGCATGCACAGCTGAACCTTCTGTGAGGGTTGGTTTTATAAGCCTTTCTAAACTGAGCTTTCCTTGCCTTCTCCACAGATCAGTCCTTTCTTCAGTTTTTTGGGGATGAATTTCTTCGCTTGCTTCTCACAAGGTTTATCTTCTGTTCAGCTACAATGAGGATGCACAAAATCTTCAGGGTATGGAGGGATATCTGTGCCTTTGTGGGGAGGACAGTCCAGTGCATGTAGAACTGCTGGCTCAGGGTGGAGGGGTCTGAGTTCTGAACACATCCCTGTGACTTCAGAAAGATGACTGATGCTCACACGCTCATTCCTGCAGCTTGCACTGAGGCTGTGCCTTTGTGTCTCTCCAAAGGCACAAAGCCTTTGACTTGCTGGAGCCTTAGTCCTGCACAGAAGTTGCAGCAGACACGCTCCAGTTCATTTGTGTCACTCTGAACAGCTGTGTCTGCTACAAAAATACATCTTAATGAGTCAAGGTTATTATGTCTACACAACTAAAACAGTGTAGAACAAGAATATGAGACTAAGTGGGGAGGAGTGGGACATTATTGCTGAATGTGTTCTAATGTGAGTGGGTTTTGAAAGGTGTTTGAAGTGTAAATGAATAAGCTAAACAGGAAGATGTATTTTTCCTCCCTGTTGTGCCAACAGTGAAGTCTGCTTCTGGATCTGCACCATTTTATGTATGTGAGTGCTGGCATATGAACTGCCTGCTCCATTTTAAACACTGCAGGAAGAAATGGGAGTTGAGCACAGAAAGGGGCAATATTCACTTGTGGAACTGCAGGCATCCAGCAGCTCTCCCAGCCCAAGGCAGCTACCTGGGCCACTCAGATATCAGGGCAAAGAAATGTGTCTGTGTTAAGGTAGAGAGATTCGCCCCCAGTGTCTTAGATACTTATTTTAGGTGAGATAAATCTCCCACTGGAGATGCTTACATGTCTGTAATTTCAAGAAATGAGCTCCAGCCTGGTAGGTAAGTACATGTGAAGTCTCTTTGTCTTCTTTTAAGTCTTTTTTTTTTTGTTTGTTTGTTTGGGTTTTTTTTGTTTTTGCAAGGCTTCTGTGAACATACCAGTAACCATCTCAGATGAATAGGCATTTGTATTGCCGCTGTAACCATCTCTGATGAATGGAAACACAAAACTGTAAATTCTAGAACATTTTCTCTCTCTGCCATACTGAACAGATAGTGTGAAATTGGCCTTTTGCAATCTTGTTTGTAAAGGCTGTGAAAGAAATGAGTGTCTGATTCTCTCTGTTTTCACTGTTATCTAGCAGGAGACTCGAAATTATCCTGAATCTTACCCTCAGCTGCCAAGAGATGAAACGGTGGAGAACCCTCACCTCCAAAAGCACATTTTGGAGCTGGCTTCCATACTGGATGTTAGGAATGTTTTCCTGGAAAACACCCTCGATGACTATTAAAAGAAACTGTCTTATTGCAAAGGGGTTTCCCTGGCCACAGATTTTGAATGGTGCAGTTTTATAATGTGAAAATCATAAAAGGAAGTACTTGATTTTATTTTTAAATTTAGGACCATTATTTTAAAAAGTAATAATAAACAGCTGTTAGTTGAGCTGTTCCATTCTGTATGGGGTCAATTTTATAAGCAGAAGTTTTCATGTCTTTTAAATGTTAAACTAAAGAATCACTAGAGGTTTATTTCTGGTCTTGTGGCTGTCAACCACATTTCCAACAGCTGATCCTGAGCATAGAAGTATTATTGGTTACCTTTAGCCCACATTTGTGGAAATCCTTTATTTTTATACAATTTTAAGAAATTGGAAAGAAAAAAAATCAACAGAAAACCCAATATTTTATCCCCAAAGAGTTTGGATTTGAAATGGTAAAGATGGAACCACACAGTGCAAACCAACAATAGCAATAACAGAGTCCTTCATAACAAATATATTTTTTCAGTCTTAGGCAAGTGAGGAGATAAAATTGTGGACAATTGAGTTGCATTTGGAGCAGTGGCTTTCAAGTGAAGTTGTAAAGATACGTAATGCTCCCTGTAAATTGGACACAGCAGTTTTCTATAGGAACTGTGTCCTGCTGGCCAAGGACCTGGTTGGGAAGGTGGTCGAGTTACAAACGCCCAAGGCTGGCCCCCACCTCTCAGTGTCCTGTGGGGCATCTTGCCATTTGTGTTGCTGCCACAGGAGGAGGGGGCATTCTTTATTTTGAGATACTGTGTAGAAATCCTGACATTTCCAGGAGGTGTTACCCCTCCTTTCCCTGTGTGGTGGAATGTGTGGCTCCCACAGTGTGACCACTCCCTGAAAGGAGCTGAAAGGACGTCCTGTACAGTGCTGAGTACGAGCCCTTCCCATCACTTGCGTATCCAACCCCCCTGTGCTGGATCCCTGTGCCCCAGGAGAGGTGCTGATGTTCCCCTGGCAGGTTGAACCAAGTGGGAGCTGCCATAACCCCGTGGATGTTTTGCATGTCCCCCCCTGCAGCTCAGTCGTGCCCTGGAAGCAGGAGAACCGAGGGGCTGTAACTGTGGCAGCACCGTGGGCTCCCCAGCCCATACCCTCAGTGTGGGGTGTGCAGGAGGACAGTGGCCCTCGGGGAGGTGCTGGCTGGGGAAGGCTGTTCTGGCTGCTGGCCAAAGCTGGCTGGCTCAGTTGGGACTGCACTGCTGCCCTGCAGAGACAGAGGAGCTCTGGCAGCTCCTGGCAGGGCAGGTGTGAGCAAGGAGGAAATGGAGATACTTTAAGCTATTAAATAAAAAAGTCTATTGTCACTGCTCCATGGGCTGCTAGAAAAGAAGTGGAAGGACAAGTCTGATCAGTGCTTTTTGTTGAACCCCAGCCATGCCTCTGTGTTTAGGTAATAACAGTGCAGAACTTGGTGACTGCTACGGAATTGTGGCAGGCCTGTGTGCGGTGCCATCACCCAAGGTGTGATCTAGTCAGCCACAACAGCACTGGTGGATCCATTCAGCTGAGGGCACAGTATGGAACAGCAGGAATGGCTGGAGTGTAGCTGGGGAGTTTGCATGAAGGTTCTCTGTAGCTGGGCTGAGGCTTGCACCATCCATTCTTTATTTCCCAAGTGTACAAAATCCTGTGAATGCTCGTGTTTGTCCTAAGCAGTCTTGAAGCTGTTACCTTGAGCCCCCCCCAGTTTGGTGCTGCCCTTTGGACTCTGGCAGGACTTCATTTCCCAGGCTGTGGAGTTTGTTTTAACAGGTGTGTTTGTGCGTGTGCATGTGTGTTCTCGGCGTTTGTGTGTGTATGTACAGTACACATACATCTACTGGCTGGTGTAAATTGTAAATATGTATATATGTATAGGTACTTGTATATGTATTAAAAAGAATGAACCACTACAATGTCTATATACAAAATTTATATATACACACATACGCCATTTCGGGTGGATTCCACAAGGTGCTGCAGATCATTTTTGGTTGTAGTAAAGGTTTTGGCTCTTCTGCCATTGTAATTTACTGTTTTCCAGGGACTCACCCTTGGACCTTGAAGTAATTCATAACTGATTTGAGGTACAGGAGCCCTTAGTTAGCCGGGGGACTGGGTACTCCTGTATGTATTAGTGGTAAGATTCATGTATTTACTGTGAAGCTGATCTCTGCCTTCCTGCCTGGTAGGAGGTCCCCAGTTACTAAAACATGGGACTGTGTGTGGAAGCTGAAGATACAGGAGGCCTTTAATGCAGCAGTGAGTGAGAGGCGGGTTATCTGTTGCCCTGCCTGCTGTTCCTCCCCCAGCAGTGTTCAGCTTGCATGGAAAAAGGGAATTGAGTTTTCCCCAGCTCGCTGCCTTCCAACTGAATGCTTTTGCTTTGCTTTAGCTTTTGCTTTTATGAAGCTGTTCTCATTTTGGTTCCATCTGTGTGGAAAACAGTATGCTGTTTCCAAGCATAGGAATGATGATGATGATGATGATGATTCCACTCATGTGGGCTGGTGAACCTCTGGGACGTTGCTTGTGAACTGACTAGGAAAGCCCTGGTGATCCCACCTTCATTTTAGCCAGGCTGAAGTGGGGAGTCCTTGCTTGTGACCTGAGAGGCTTCTACTCCACTTCACAGCCCTTCAAGGAGGTTGTTTGCTTGTTGCCAAGGTAGATCTCATCAGAGGAAAATGCACTGTTTAAAAAGCTGAACAAAAAGCCCTGAAGAAGCTGGAATGTAGGAAGAGAATGTAGTCCTTGAAAATTAGTTCAGAAGTTGTACTTATCAGCAAAGACTGTCCAAGTCAAAAATTTATTCTTGAGGCTACTCATTCTCCTCTTACCTACTGATCTTTGTTAGAAGGTCCAATGCTGGCAGGGACATTCAAAGATAAAGATGGTTGTGTTGGGAGGAGTATGGAATTGTACTGTGTAAGCAAAGGGCTCTTACCCTCTGTCTGCTCTAGCTGTAGCTAGGATAAGCGTCTGGTCTTGAATTTTGAGCCAGCCCCCTCCCTTCCTGCCCAAAGCAACTGCATCCGAGATGAAAATGTTGATATTTTCCCCTCCAAGTAAAAGCTTGTCTTGTTTGAACTAAGTCATTCTGAACTCGTGCTACTGTGTGCTCTGTGCTATGGTCGTAGGTACCTCGGTGTATGCTTGTGTGTACTGAAGAAAATCTGGTTTCTGTATCTCACAGTCCTCAGTGTGGAAGCGAAGCAAAGACTGAACCATTTTTAAGTGAGAAGAGAACAAATCCTTTTCTTCTCAGGCCTGCTGCCTTCCCTCTTGTCTCGCTCTCCCTTTCTCCATGTATCTTTATTGCTTAGATTAACAGAGAAGACTTGCCAGCACCAGGCAATGCCAAATTAAAGGGGTAAATTCTGCATGTAATACGCTGAGAGGACAAGGTGAACTGGACCAACTGTGTCCTTATGGGACTGCTCCTGCCTGGCTCCCTACTCCCTGCATGTGGTGTGCTCAGATGAATCCTGCTCCCACAGTAGGCACCTGCTCGAATTGTTTGTGCTCCTGCTCAAATTGGCTTTGGAACATCCTGCCAAAGTTACTACTGTTGCCTTTTTCCCCCCTTTGACTTCTCGGAACAACAGTGACAGAGGAATGCAGGGTTATGAGTCTTTAATGCTCTGGTTTTTATTTGCTGTTGGGATGTGATGTGTCATTTTGCTTCGTGCACAAGCTAAATGGAGCACTAACTTCCATGAGCTGTGCAAACAGGACTTGCTCCCTGGAGTGCTTTCTTGAGAAGTTCCAGGACATTTCTTTGAGTAGTTTGTCAAAATAATGTCTGTCAAATCATGACTGACTAAACTCTCAAGACTGCTCCCCAGGGAGATGTGCAGAGATGTCTTTTAAGGATCACAGGAAATAGATGGGGGCAACAGGAAATTAGGTTCCAAATAATCATCTTCAAAAGCTACAACTTGAGTAGCTCTGGTCAGGCTTCTCCCCTAAGGAGAAGGGGTGGAAGTGCTGCTCCCAGATCCATCCCTGGCATGAGTTGGGAGGCATCTCCCCTGCCCCGCCACCTCCCCTGTACTGTAACCATGCTGTGCTGCAAGCCTGCTCCTTCCAGAAAGCTAAAAATCCTGGCATCTGTCTGAACAATTGTTTTGTCTTGAGGCTTCTTTTGTAAAAGCTTTATCTGTGTCCAGTTCCTCAGTCCGTGTCCGAGTGCAGCTCAGTGGTGCAGCAGCGGCTGAGCCTCGCTCAGGCCTGGTGTTGCCGGGGCTGCTCCTGGGGCTGAGGGAGCTCTGCAGGCAGGAACAGCTGTATGAACAAGGGAAAAATCTGGTCTAGAGAGCTGAAAGCTGCTCTGTGCACCTCAGTAAGGTCAGGCTCTCCAGAGCAGATCATACACTCCTGAGGGGGCTCTCTTACATTGGTAATATCTGACTTTTAGAGCAATACTGTTCTGTGACCACATGTACTGCAAGTGCTTTGAGGATCTGGGTGTCCGCTAGTGGAGCAGGGGAGGAACACATCAGACATGAATTTGCTTTAGATTTAGGATTGCCAGTCAGCCACTTCTTGTTTTCCCCTCTAAACCATTACTCTGCCAAGACAAGAGATCTAGTTCGAGATCTAGTTCTGAATCTGACTGACCTTTTGGGGGATTAAGGACTGTCTGAATTCTGCCCAGATGCACCCATAGCTGTTTTATTCCCATTGGGAGCAGACCTCAGTGCAGCTCCCTGGCCTGCAGGAGCCCCCGAGCAGAGCAGACCTCACCAGCCTTGTACCAGCAGCTGCTCCTTCCAGAATAAGCCCTGCTGGGAGGATCTGCCCCATTGACTTCGCAGGTCGCTCTCGGCCCGTGTTTATCATCATTTCTCCCTTGAAGTGGTTTGTTGGGAGCAGGATTCTGCCTCATGCAGGCTGAAAAGCACAAGTTGCTTCTGCCCTGGGCAAGACCCGGTGAGAAGGACGAGGGGAGCACAGGTGGGAGCATTTGGGAGCGTTCTGGGAATGCAGAGGTACAAGAGTGTTTTGCCTCTCTTGAGAATCAGATTATTTATTACCAAAAGTAATTTTATAGTGAATCGGTTTAAAGTTATTTTACAGCTGTGTGCCTGTATATCGTATTTTGGTAAAAACAGATATTTTCCTTGAAATATATAGAGATATATAAATAAACTTTTTTTGGAGCAAATGGACTTTTTTTGCAAGGGATGTGTAATCGCCAAAGCAGCGTGATGCCAGAAGCGTTGTTCTGTGCCGTTGTTCTGGGTGTCTGCGGAGGGAAGCAGCGCGTTTGTGTTACCGCTGGACCCTGCTGGGAGGAGGAAGAGCCGCTGGCTGGGACCTGCCGCTTCTCCCTGTCCGAGCCGCCACCCCCGGCCCGGCCGGGTCACAGACCGAGCGCCACCCCGCGTCCTCGTCGCCGCCTCTCCGGGCTTTCCAGAGACTCTGGAGCAGATTCCGTTCGCTTTTGTCCCCGCCGCGCCGGGGCCGCTCCCGCCCGGCGCTCGCGGTCGTGCCGTGTCCGAGCCGCTCGCTGTCCCCGTGCCGGGGCTCGGCCGCCCCTCCCCGCCCCTGTCCCGGCCCCGCCGAAGGACTGTGCTGTCAATAAACTGTGGAAAACGCTCGTACCGACCGCCTCGTCCGCTCTGCCGCGGGACAGCGGGAGGGCAGGAGGGAGGATCGGGGCTGAGGGATGAGCAGGGCCGGGGCCGAGGGAAGACTGGGAGCGGTGCCGGGGCTGAGGGAGGAGCGAGGCCGGGGCTGAGGGAGGAGCGGGGCCGAGGGAGGAGCGGGGCCGGGGCTGAGGGAGGAGCGGGGCTGAGGGAGGAGCGGGGCCGGGGCTGAGGGAGGAGCGGGGCTGAGGGAGGAGCGGGGCCGGGGCTGAGGGAGGAGCGGGACTTGCGCCTCTTCCGCCCCGCGCGGCGCTTCCGGGTCGGCGGTGGCCGGGGAGCGGCGGGGCCGGGCCGGCCATGGGCGGTGAGGGGCTGTGAGGGACGGTGAGGGGTCGTGAGGGGCTGTGAGGGTGAGGGGACGAGCCCTCGGTGCCCAGAGCGGAGCGGCCGGGCCAGGCCTCCCCGGCGGGTGGCGGGGGCCGGGCTGAGGGACCCGCCCGCTCTCCCGGCGCTGTCACCGTTTGGGGCCGTCGGTTTGGGGCTTTAACGGGCTCTGCGCCGCGTGGCACGATTTTTTAACGTTTTGTAACAGATGCGATGTTAAAGGACGTTCAGTTTTCTTTTGATGACTAGTGCGGGTGGGATTTTTAGTGTGGAACCCATTTCTGCTTTATTTGCAGGTACTGTCAGGCCGTGAGGGCTTTAATGGAACTAGAAATGCAGTAAAGCAGTGGGTGAGGCACAGAATTAAATCTCAGCATCTGCAAGCTTTAAACAGTGCCAGTGTATTAAAGGGTGGAGGTCGTGGGTTTCCAAGGAACCTGGATATTTCAGCGCTGTAAGCAGTAAAATGTTTGCCAAACTGAAGAAGAAGATCGCGGAGGAGGCAGCGGTTGCCCCCAGGCCGGGAGGGACTGCCCGGATCCCCAGGTCTGTCAGCAAGGAGTCCATCACGTCGGTGGGAGCAGACTCCGGAGACGACTTTGTGAGTTACACCTTGCTTTGAAAGCGGATTTCTCTGGCAGCGTTTTTAATAGGGCTCTGCAGACAGCCGTTTTAGCTGTAGTGTGTGAGTGGAGTATGTGCTGTGGTGTCTTTGTAAGTGCATCTCTTAATGCGTAAATGTATCATTAGCTTGAACAAACTTAAACATTGAAGAGAGTATTTGTATGTGAACCATGGTGGTTGCCATGAGGCTTCTCTTCTTATGTAAATATGAGTTATAAAGCTGTTTCAATACAGAACATTGATAAACAGACATAAAATATTGAATGAAGCTGTAGTTACGTGTAAGATACCTATTTGTAAAATTAATTACTGAAGTGTAGAATCCCAGAAGGGTTTGGATTAGAAGGGACCTTAAAGACCATCCAGTTCCACCCTCTACCGTGGGCAGAGACTCCTTCCATCATTGCAGGTTGCTCCAAGCCCTGTCCAACCTGGCCTTGGACACTTCCAGGAATGGGGCAGCCACAGCTTCTCTTTCAGTAGGAAAACAAGCTGGATCTGGCCAGACTTCATCTTGCCATGGATTTTGCTTTACCTCTTGGCTTCCTGGGACTGTTCCTGCCTGAGACACTGTGTATGTCTCTGCCAAAAACCTTGGGTGCAGTTTTGTTGCACTGAAAACTATTGTAGTTCCTCTCTTTCATTATAAAACATTGTTTAAACAAGTGGTAAAGTTCCAGGAGTGTCTGGGTTAAATGGAACCCTGGAATGCTCTGGCGCCCCTGCCCTGGATGGCTGGCTGTCACACTTTTGAAAGCCTGGATTAAGGCAGCGTCACCCCAGTGCAGGAGCCAGCAGGGCCCACTGCAGAGCCAGCAGCAGGACTCTGTTTGCTGTCTGCAAAGTCAAGAAGTTATTTACACAGTTGAGCTCCAACTCAGTTTTTCTGAAGCTCAGCTGAAATTCCAGTTCTATTAAGCAGAAAGTGTGAGCTTCTGATGTTTAAATACATTCTATAATGGAAATATATTAGTCTTCTGTTTTGCTGAGTGTTTTTTTAGCACTTAACACATTCTCACGTAAAAATTCCCTTTGCCACCCTATGACTTCAGAGAACAGAAAACAAGTAACGGTGGTGGCTGAAGTCTTGAGCGGTTTTCAGAAAACCTCCAAGAATTGGTTGTTTTATCAATATTCATTTAACTGCTCTTAATATTGATTTTTATGGAGCAGAGAACGCCCCAGGAATCATCAGTCAGTTATGCAGCGGTTTTTGTGTGGACAGACTGCTGCATCAGGGCTGCAGGGAGCTCATCCCACCTGAAAAGCATCGCTGCTTCTTTCCTCATTACGTTGATTTTCAGGAGTCTCGCTTGACCCTTCCTGGAACCTGTGCTGTAGAGCCTGGTTTCCCCTGCACCGTGTCCTCAGTGCCAGTCTGAACCCCAGTTCTCAGCTGTGGAGCCTGGTTTCCCCTGCACCGTGTCCTCAGTGCCAGTCTGAACCCCAGTTCTCAGCTGTGGAGCCTGGTTTCCCCTGCACCGTGTCCTCAGTGCCAGTCTGAACCCCAGTTCTCAGCCCCAGCTCCCTTCCCCAGCGCTGTGCTCTGGGAGCAGCCAGCAGGGCACAGCCCGCTGTTTAAGCCCTCGCTGGTTTCCTCCTTCAGCATTTTTTACACATTCTGCTGTGCTAGTACAACTTTCCCCTTTGTGTGAAAAGCAAGTGTTATTGCTAGGTGGGAGAGTGGTTATTATCCCAGAGTTGTTGTACAGCAGGATTGCTTTTTCTGGATAAGTTACATGACTTGCTTTTCTCCCAAGGCTTCTGATGGAAGCAGCTCCAGAGAGGATCTTTCATCCCAGTTGTTCAGAAGAAATGAACAAATAAGAAAACTGGAGGTGAAGCTCTCTGGTATGTGTCCTGATACATACAAAACCTTGTTATTTTAGGAAATATTTTCCTTTTAGTGGTTTAATATATTAAAAATATGTGGGTTTAGGGTTCTTTGAAAATTGATTTGTGGCAACCCTGTTGATTGACATCTAGGGAGCATCCAGTATTACTGATTTTTTATAAGGATGATTTTAGTTTATTCTGGAATCTTAACAGGCTCTAGTTCAAGAAAATATACGATTCAGAAATTATTTCCTACTGAATTCGAAAGGCCAAAGTGCTCACCTGCTTACACAAGGTAAACTTAAAAGTGGTTGAGGCTCAGCAAGAGAGGAAGGCTCTGATGTCAAGAGTTTTGTGCAAGCAGCCCAAGCAGTGAGTGAATCCTCCTTTCCATTGCACAGAAGCTTCTGCAGGGTGTGTGTGTACTTTATGTAGGTGCTTATTCCCTGCCTCCCACGCCAGGTGTGCTGGGTGAGTGAGGGCAGCGCAGTCACGGCTCGGCCTCGGGGTGCTGTGGGTCTGGAACAACGAGCACAGGGATGCAATGTCCGTGAATTGCCCCTTCCTTGCACCCTCCAGTACCAGAGACCTTTCCTGAACAGCGTTCAATAGACCACTGTTCTGGAACGAAGTAAAACGTGGGGACAGCTGTTCATTCCCTGGTTCTGCCCTTGTCTGTGTGACTGACACCCCGGGACAGGCCCTCCTGTTTGTGCCAACCCTGTGGACAGTACAGAACTGTTTGCTTGCGTTCATTGTTGTGGTCACCCAAGTTTTCCTCAGCAGGAATGATTTTCTGATTGAGAAAATCATTGTCATTTTGTCACTCATCCTTTTTTTCTTTCTTCCCCCCCCCCTTCCCCACCAAATGTCCTTTCCCAATGTCTGTCCATTCCTGGTCTGTGCTTCTCCTTCCTCACACGAGATTATGCTGATCAGATCCGAAACTTGCAGAAGATAAAAGAGAAGCTTGAAAATGCATTAGAGAAGCATCAGGATTGTACGTACTTTTTTTCCTTTTTGTTTAGTTCTTTTTAAGTTGAAAATTGCTGTGGTTGGAAGGAAAGGGATTTGGTGTACAGGTGTGTTATTTATTTCCTTTCAGACTGTGCACCTCTGTACTCTGTAGAACTAGAACATGAGTTTTTGCCTTATTTACGGTGCAAAAAGCAGCAGTAATATCTTAAACAAGTTGTTATTACACTTCTTTTGCCAGATTTGGGGCTAACATTCAGGAGAGACCTTTTAGAAGGCCACAGCTTTGTTCTAATCCAGCAAGGAGCAGTATTCCTGTCTCCTGTTAGCTTTGGCTTCTGGCCAGCGTGCAAGCAGCGTGAAGTAATGAGTGGCACAGTGTTAGTGCTGGAGTCAAGATGGGGCTAATTACTTGCGGAACAAGCTCTTTAAAGTTATTTATAACTTACAGAAAACTGAGAAGCAATTTTAAAAGCTGAGTTTTTAATGTAGCTGGTGGTTCTCTGTTGATAGCCTCCATGAGGAAGTTTCAGGAGCAGAACGAAGCTCACCAGGCCAGTCGAGCCAAGATGGCTGAAGGAATGGCTTTGGCCTTGGAACAGAAGGACAAGGTAACAGCTTGAGCACGACTTTTGGCTCTCATGACCCTCATGTTTTAAGCAGGTGTTGCCATTAATTAAAATAATTGTTCGGCATTGTGTGTGAGTGTGCCAGCGCTGAGGGAAGGAGGGAGCACTGAGTTCCATGCCAGAACTGCTCTGACTGTTCTGACTGGTTTTAACAAGAGCCCTCCAAAATTCCTGATGAAAGGTTAAGCTTGTGCTTTGTTAAGATTAATTGTGATAGACCTGTTGTAACTTTTATTTTACTTGCATGAAGCTTACCTATTCAGGTAGCAAAAATGATTCCTTAGCCTTCACCTATAAAGCACTGGCTCTTATT